AGATATTTGCTGAATAATAAATGGTTACTTTTTTTAAAAAAAAGGCCACATAGAATGTGTCACTGCCCTTTATACTTACGAAAAAACAGAAATTAAGTGATTCCAACTTAGCGCACACAAACACAGACTCCTGATTCTTGGTTCTCTCCACTGTGCACACAGCAACAAAACAAGCAAGAGTTGAGTCACCATGTTTTGGGGTACCTTACCCCCTCTATATCTCCTTTCTTTAAAACCTGCCTTCCGACACCTACTGCTGAAGAAGTTGGCTACAAAGCTGTGTTTATACCCCATGACACTTCTGGACAAAGCTGATTGGCCAAGGCTGGACACCTGATATAAGAGCTACCAATCCAATGGTTGGTCAGGAACCAATCAGATTCAAACATCAAATTCTGAACTCAGAGAACCAGAATTCATTGTCAGTTGGTGGTGGTGATTTCCATTGAAAAGTCATACAGAGTCTAGTTCTGACAAACCAATAGGAGGACAGGCTGCTGTTATGAGTGAACAGGCTGATCTGCAGTTAGAAGTTCAAAGCTGGGTTTAAATCCACATGGTACCTGACAGAGACAAGAGTAGTTGCTTTGCTCATGTTGACTTCCTGGTTCCCAGTTCCTGTGAGGCTGGGATGTACTTCCCACCCTTGGGTTTGGTGAGATTTTCCTACATCTTTTCAATAATCTTCAATAATCCTTCCAATAATGAGCAAGTCTGAGTGGATGTCTGTCCAAGGCTTAGTTTTCTCACCTGTACAATTTCTTACCTGGATGGGCCAGCGGAGCTCAAACTTCCTTGCTAGCACAATGCTTTGATCTGTGATCCTATAGCTATGTGCCTCCAAGGAAGTAGAGGAACTCCCAGTGTTATCACATTGGTGCCAGGAAAAAAAGCAAAGACTCAGAGAAGGAAAGCTGAGGCAGGAAAAGAATGAGCATCTGTTGACTCATATCCCCACATCCTCCCTTGGCCTCTAGTCCTGAGAAAAATAATCCTGGAACATTGCATGCAGCTTTGCTCAACACAGAAATCAGAGCAACTGGGACCTTGCCATCACCACTCTGCCGGAACTTAGACCACATTCTACCTGCTGGAAGATGAAGCCAATGTGGTCTTTGAGGCATAAGAATGTCCAAAAAGGAAGCATCTCAGGTACCACTGTTTATGTCGAGAGGGGAGGGGCTTCCAAAGACAAGACAACAATGGTGGACACATGCAATTGCTGGTTGGCAAAGCTAACAAAACTGTTGCATCTTTCTGCTAGATTTGTCCTTGTTGAGAGACAGTCCTTTCCTGGCTGGGCCCCAGGCCCACTGCTTGATCAAAAATGCCTTCCCTGAAGCCACTCAGGTCTCACGTTGGTTGTCTTTGACTTCTGTCCACCTCTGTTCCCTAGAATAGTCTTGTCCTCAGGGCTGAGGACACATCTTCCTCCTCTAATCTTCTTGGCTATTGCTTGTCCCGAAGTTCAAAGAAACAATTAACAACATGAATTCCCACTACCTATGAGCACCATGATGGAAGGAGGGACACAGAGGCATCCTTCCGCAATGACATTCCAGGGAGCTTACGGTCACCTCAACCTGCCCTTGTCTTTCCCTGACCTGCAGCATCAGGGGCTCGAGGGTGATCCTACCCAGGATCAGTCCACTCTCCCCCAACTCCCAGGATTCTGTAGAGGGGAGAGATCTCAGCTATTGGACTCCAGGGAAATGACTTAAACTTTTAGCCTGTTACTTTAGCCACAAAATGGTTAAAGTACCTTCTACTTCATGAGGTGTTTACATGTCGCTGTAAAATGATACATGTGAAGTGTATGGCCTGAAACCCGGTTTTTACTGTTTATTGACTTTCAATTGTCTTCCAGACACATCTATCTTTAGACCAATAAGCTTATACAGTGCTGGCACAACCACACCTCCAAATTGCTTGGTGGCCAAAGTCCCAGGCAGCGCGCTCTGGTGAGCAGGTGAAGCCAGAGGTGGCTGGGTCCCTCTATGGACACTCTACTTGAGGGACTTCCAGCCCAGTGAGAAGGGGCACAGGCAGAATCCTGGCTCCAGTGGGCAAGACCAGGCCCTGAGGGGTGGGACTGGTGCTGCCCAACAATTCAAGTGGAAATGCCTCAACACACCCACCAAGTCCCAAGGTCAAAGGCATCACAATTGGGTCTTTGTTCCAGAGTTCAAAAGCCTCACTCACCACTCCTTCCGAAGCCAAGAGCTTGCAAGATGCACAACACACCTCCCTTCCCCCACCATCAGAGCCAGCTTCCTTGAACTGGGAAACCACCCACCAAGGATCTGTAGTTTGGACCTTTTCCTTTCTCCCCTCCACCCACTTAGTTCCTCTGGTTAAGCTGGTCCTACAGTCCAGGCCTCCTGGGTTTTCTTTCCCCTTTCAATTCTTATCCAAGGATATGCTTCCACTCATTTTTAGAGAGAGAGAGAAAAAGAGAAACATGGATGTGAGAAACATCAATCGGTTGCCTCCCATACTCCCACTGACCAGGGATCGAACCTGCAATCTAGGTATATGCCCTGACCAGAAATCAAACCAGCAACCTTTTGGTGTACAGGATGACGCTACAACCAACTGAGCCACCTGGCCAGAGCCAGGCCTCCTGGTTTTGATGGCATCAGATGGTATGGGTTTGCATGGTGAACACAGCAGTGTGAGATCCCTGTGTAAACATCTGCTGCTGAGCAGCTGTCTCCACCAAGGGTAAAGGTACAAAACTCCCAGAGAAGTAGAAAAGCCACGTTTCATCCAGAAGGTTCTCCCCACCTGAAACCCAGGGTCCTATGGAGTCTCCCAGGCATGGAGTTCAGACATGGGAGAGGGCTTGGGTAGGTCATCTTCTCCAGGCCCTGCTTCTAAGCAGCCATCAGATTATCTTATTTCCAGAAGGGACAATTGAGGCCCAGAGGGATTAAGGAACTCGAAGCCACACAGCCAGTAGGTGGTGGGCAGAATCCTGCTTCCAGGGACAGCAGCTCCCTCAGAGGGTCTGTGTGCCAGTCTAGCTTGCTCTGGGGAGTCAGGCTGCCTGAGCCCCCTCAAACAGCCATCTGGACCCCTCAGAAGAGGAGGTGCCTCTATGCCTTTTCTAGGCCTAACTCAGAATCCCCACTTTATCAAGGCTCTTCCTGCTCCACTCCTAGGCAGGACTCCACGTATTCCCAGGGTCCTAGATGTAGGATGGGAAGGCAGAGGACACCCAGTCCACGAGAATCAGGGAGTTTTATATAGCAGGCTGACTTCTTTTGTTTGGGGTCTCATCTTGAGCCATCCTGGCCAGTGGCTGGTACCCACTCCTCCTGCTGCTCCACGGAAGTGAGGTAGCAGAAGGGTCCCTAAGCCAGAACTCCACTTCTGAGCACACTTGACCTTATACGGAGAAATGGGCCTGCCTTTCTTTGGAGCAAGCTCCAAAACAAACATCTTTCCTCAGCTGGTATCTCCAATTCCACCATTAGAGATCCCTTCCTTTGGGTGCTTAGGGTTTCCAGAGCCAGGCCCCTGAGACAATGCAGCTTCCCTGGGGGGGCAGGGAGGTAAGGCTGGTACTGGGACAAAGGCTGAAGACAAAGTGGTGCAGGGAGACCCATGTGGGCATGTGGGGTAAAGGGCCAGGTTTTACACTAGGGACCTGGCTCTGCGGAGGGGACCGCTGCTGCCATCTACCTTGGTGGTGACTCCAGGCACAAAGGCAGAACCTGACCTCTGAGAAGGGAACGGGCTTTGAAGACACCAAACCCCAGGAGGGCCATGAGTCAGGTCTAGTTTGGCATCACAGCCTAAGCTCACCTCCCCCAGGAGGCCTGCTGGGATTTTCTTAGCATCTCTACAGCTATTTGCTGCCCACAAGCATAGGAATCAGGGGCCTAGGAACACTCCTGTTCTGTTCTGCTTTTGACTTCATATGACTCCCCTCCCCTCACATTTTCTGTGTCAGATAATCTATAGAATGGGCACAGTCATCCTTTGGTCTGCCTTTCTTTCAGAGCTCAAAACAATGGAAAGGAAATGAGTGGGACAGGAAAAGGAGAACGGGCCCCTCCCCTCTGGGAATATCCTCCAAACACAGCCCAGAGAGGCTCCTGTGTATGGGCCTTCCCTCACAGCAAACCGAAACCAAAACAGAACGCCCCAGGAACCAATTCAAGCCCAGCAGACCCTGGGCAAGCTGCTGCTGAATGTCCCGGGGCCAAAGCTGTTCTTGGCCCTGCAGGGGGCCACATGGCCTGCACCTCAAACTGGACTCCTCTGTCTACCTACAGAGACTCCTGCAGCCAACGGCACTGAGGCACTTGGGTCCACTCGGTGAGAACCTTGGAGCCAGAAGCCCCCTGGATGGCCCCAGACAAGACAAAGCCTCAGCGCCCAATGACAGGGTGGCTGCTGCAGGACCCTCCCTGACCCCAGGACCTGGCTTCATCGCCCTGTCTGGGCCGTCTTCCCAGGCCCTGGCAGCCTTCAGCTCGCCAGGGGGTAGTCAGCTCACTGCCCAGACACCAGCCAACCCCCACAGGCCTGGCCTTTCCTCAGACAACACACCGGAGGCCTGAGGACCCTGGACCCCACAGTGATGTCATGGCCTGCTTTCCCCCACTCCTGCCTGGACCCTGGCTTCTAATATGGTCCCGCAGGGGAAAGCTGCCGTAGAGTGCCCTGAGCTGGGAGCTACCTTCCCCGGGGGCCTCAGAGGGCACGGGGTCCCTAACCGTGGGCTGGACACTTCTCCCCATGCTGCCACCCTGGCGTTGCACTCACACAAGCCGGTTAATCACCCCGAGTGGTGGAGACATTCTTCCACCACCAGGCAAACTGCTGGCCTGCAGCCCAAACCAACAGGGGAAACTTCAGCCTCCTCAGTCCTCTCCCCGCCAGATGGAAATAACGTATAGCTGCAGAGGTGGGGGAGGAGACCGGGAACAAAAACCAGCCGTCCACCCGGGGGCCGGGCTGGAACCCCGAGCGGCTGGCGGGGCACTCACCGCTTTCGTTCTTCTCGATGACATCCACCACCTCCCCGGCCTGGAGGCTCAGCTCCGAGTTCTCCTGCTTCTTATAGTTGGACACCACCACGTACTGTTCCAGGATCATGGGCTCGGCGCTGGTGTCGGCACCTGGCGAGGGCAGAAAGCACGCGGTGAGCCAGCGGCCAGCCATGGCCCCGCGGCCGGGGCGCCCCCTGTCCATCGGCCTCGGGGGAGGCTGCTCTGTCGCCAGCGCCGCTCCGAGGGGCTGCCTGCAGCCAGGGTTCGCAGCTCGCTGGGCCCCAAGGACAGGCCATATAGCAAGGCCCCACACCGGCCCGCTGCACTGCGGGGGCCGGGGGACATGGGGAGCCAGGGGACAGAGGGAGGGTGGGGGCAGGAGAGACAAGCAGAGACAGAGACCGAGGCCAAGAAAACTCAGAGGAAAAGCCTGCTGCTGTGATGAGTTAGTCACAGCCCAGCACGCAGGAGGCAGAGGAGAGGCCTGGGGCCGACGTGGTCTCTCCAGACCCCTCTGCGACAGGGGCGTGAGGGGAGGGCTGAGGGTGGGCGGCCCATGAGGGCTGAAGCCAGAGCAGAGGACAGAGAGAAAGGCAAGGCGAGGAGGAGGGCTCCTGCCTCTCCCCCAACCCCTGTAAACCCAGAGAAAGAGAGTCAGCAGTCCTCCCCTCAGGAGGGAGAGGGAAAGAGCAGGAGAGACCGTCTCCACAGCCCGGGCCCAGGCGAGAAGTCAAGAGGGTTTGAGGCCGCCAATCACTGGGGTTTACTCGCAACCCTTAAATAGAAACACATGAGACCCATCGAATGAGGAGCTGGGGGTGGAGGCAGGGGAGGGGGAGGAGGGCCGAGACTGTTTACTTGAAACCCAAGAAGAAAGCCAGCGGCAGGCCAGCCCAGCCCGCCCCCCGCCAACTTTTCCTTAAGTTCGGCTCCTTGCCTACCCCTTGGGCTCCCCAGGGTGCTGCCACCAAGCCCAGGGCCTGGCACACACGAATCAGCCTCAGGCTGGCTCTTCCCAGACCTGCTTCCAGAGGGGACAATGGTCTGGCCTGGCTGCTGCCCACTGGCCACATGGAAACTGACTCAGTCTCCCTCTGCTTTGAAGCGTGGGGGCTTGTGGTCAGGGTCCTAGAAGCCTCCAGCAGCCCTCTTCTGGTAGTTTCATGGAGCTTGAGGGGTCAAAAGGTGGGGCTTAGCAGGAGGGCAGGCACCCAAGGAGCAAGCAACTTCTCTCTCCTCCTCGGCCACAGGACCAGTGCACCATTCATTAAGCAACTAGGAGGAGGACGGACTGGGTGCCCATCTCAGCTCACTGGCTGTGTGGCATCGGATATGCTGCTTACACCTCTCTGAGCTTCACTATTACCATCACCATCACTAGGGTGGGGACAAAACACCTAAGACATGACAGGCCCTGCAAGGAGCGCAAAGGATCCGCAAACCAGAGACCTGCTGGTTACCTCCCACAGGAGGCCCTCCCAGGCCAAAAGGAATTCCTAGTACCCTTCTTAAACTGCGCATCTACCGCTCTATATACCTGCCAATCTCCTGGGAGGCTGCGGGCTTCACACCACCAGCCTGGCTACAGAGACAGCCGAGAGGGTTCCCAGGCTCCCCACGGCCCCTCGGGCTTCAGCCTGCAGCCACATTCCCTATAGCTTGAGTCTAACTGCCAAGTTCTGTGCCAGGCACGTACACTGTCCCAAGTTATTCTAACAACAACCTTCTCACCTTCCCATTACACAAAAGACAACTCAGAGGCCCAGAGAAACCAAGAGCCTTGCCCCGCTCACATAGCTGCTAAGGAGAGAACGAAATTCACTGTGTTTCAGGTTCAAGCCCATCTCTCTTTTGATTACAGGGTTGCCTGGTGTCTGTTTCCAGACATCCCATTCTTCTAGCACAATGACCCTCGACTTGGTCCTACAAAATCGCCTGGGGAGCATTTGAAGAATATAGGTGCTGAGGCCCCACCCCCACAGATCCAGATTTAATTGGTCTGGGGTATATTTTAGATATCCCATCTTCCCCCAGTGGTTCTCACGTACAGCCAGGGGTAAGAAGCACTGCTTAGGTCTCTGGGTCTTTCTGTGGCCGAGGATCTATCCAACCTAGGGTAGAGGGCAACAGGGGGGAAAAAACCCCACCATTCCTGGCAGTCTTCTCCCATGAGGTGCGGACCCTGCAACCCCAGCTCAGCCCTTTGGAGACCCAGAAGGGACCCTGTCCCAGCTGAGGCCTGCCACATGAATGTGCACATACAGCCCCAGGCAGCCCCTCCAAAGCCAGATTTGTATTTCAGGCAGAAATGCAACCAACAGCTAGGCAGCAGGGCCAGCCTGGTTCTATACTCAGATATGGCCAGTGTCTGCCCCTGCCCTTGCCCCTGACAGCAGGGCAGAGGCGGTGCTGGGCACAGTGCTGACAGGGACTATCTCCCATTGGGTCCCTGGGGAGCTTTTAGTGCTTCTGTGGCTAAAAGCACTTCTTAAGTGCACCCAGCACAAAGAGGGGCTCCCTTTCCACATCGTGTAAATTCAAGACACAAACAGAAGAGGAGTCCCCCAGCAGCAGGTTAGAGAGCTTCCAAATCCTGAGAGCACCCAGATTACACCAAGAATTAACCACAAGCCTTGTTCGTACTCACTCATGGGCAGCACTATGCCAAGTGCCACCGTATCACCTCGCTGTCTGGTTTGTCCTCACAACAACTCTTTGCGGCAGGTCTTGTTACAGCCCCATTTTACACACAGGCAGACTGAGGCTCACGAGAGTAAGCAATTTTCCTAAAGTAATATGGCTGGGATTGAACCCATGCCCACCTCACACTGGCACTTGTGTTCTGAACTTCTGCCCGGTGCCTGGCCCACAGAGAGCCCCTGATCCCTGGTTTCCAAGGAGGGGCCCACTTTATCCTATCTCCGGACACCTGGCACACAGTTGGTACTTACAAAGACTGGAGAGTAGGTTTCTTGTTGACTCTTGCTACATTTACTGACCAGACCACAGTGTCCACTTAGGTGGTTGGTACTCAGTAAGTGTTTGTGAAATGAACGAAATGAATGAAAGTGACTTAATGGTTGGTTTTGAGCCAATACAGATAAACCAGGCAGGGCCTCGCTTCTGAAATTTGGGAAAACTAGACAACTAAACCGTGGAAGGGAGAAAGGGGAAATGGGAAACAGAGGCACAGAGGAGCAAGTGGCCAGAAACTAACAGAAAGGATGAGCAGGGGTGCTGAGAATGGAGAGACATCGACTCATTTTAATTGAAGCCAAGGAAATCTGAGACAAACTTTCAAAGAGGGGAAAAATCAACATACCCCTTCCCTCAGCCTCTTGGAATATTGGCTGGAGCTTTCTGAAGACGGACAGTCTGGGGCACAGGTAGAAAAGGTAAGGAAATGTTCTCCAGGCGCTCCAGAGCATACAAGACAGGCGGTGGCCCTTCTTGGAGGCTACTCCAAAGGCTGGGGATGGACAGACGGACACACAGACACTCTGTCCTCTTGGCTGCCCTCCCCTCCCCCAGCACATACAGGCTCCCAGCTTGCTGGCTCTGGTATCTGCCTCTTAGGGTGTTGCCTGCCCAGGGCTGCCCGGGTGGGCGTGAGCTGGGAGCAGGTATCCAGATGAGAAACTATTCGGCAGGCGGGTCGGTGGGTGATGTCATCCCACAGAGGCTGGATCCCCTCCCAGCCAAGGCCTGGAAAATTAAGGGTTGAAGGAGTTGGCCCCAGAAAGGAGGAGGGGCAGTGGAGGGAGACTCCTGTCTTCAGATGAAAAGGGTTTGGCAGAGGCATCGAGAAGGGGTGGACCCTTCTAGAGAGGAGAGCCCCTCCCTGGTTGGAAGGGGGCTTTTCAAGAGTGGCATCCAGGGATGGGCCCCTGTGCCTTCCTCAGAGCCCCGGGCTTGATCTGCGGAGGCGCTGGCAGCTCCCCAAAGCCTTGCCCCACCCTTACCTCACACCTGCACTACTCCGACTACCACCTGGATGGACCCCTGGCTCCTGCCTGATCTTGGCTGCCAACTTAAACTTCTAAACGAGGCTTTTGCCAAGTCAGTCCCCTGCTCCAACACCTTTGGCGGCTCCCTGTGGCCTATAGAATAAAGGCCAAGTTCAAGTTCAGTCTTTCTTGACAATCTGAGCTCCCCAAGTTCCCTGACACACAACAGTCCTGTTCCAGGCAACATTCATCATTCAACACATATGCCTCGGGCATCCCCCTGCGCCAGCCACACTGTTATACGAAGGTTCTTCTCTCCAAGCCTTCGCTGTAGCTGTTTCCCCTGCGTGGAATGCCCTCCTTTCTACCAAACCCAATCCTCCCAACCATCTCTGCCCTCCAGGAGTTGCCTGATCACTTTAGCCACAGTGCTTGCTCCCGTCCTATACTGAATTTTTTGTGGGGCACTGTTGCCCAACCAGACCATGTGCTTTAGACAAGTCTCCCTGATGAGAGTAGATGCCCCAGGACGGGTGCCATAGAACAAGGCATTGGACACAGTAATTATCTGAGATCCACAATGAAAAAGCATACAATCAGAGTCTGAGGGTCTGAGGTTCAGTCCTGCATTGCCCCTACCAGCTCTGTGACCCTGGGGAGAACACTTAACCTCTCTGAGATTTAGCGTCCTCATCTGTAAACAGGAACAGGAACAATACCTGCCTCACGGGGTTGTTACAAGCATGGGATGAGGTGACGGGGTTAATGCCCTATGTAAACTGTAAGCAGTGTTTATAAAGCAAACAGAAGTGGGAAATTGGGGGAGGAGCAGGAGGGGTTTAGGTTCCTCTGCAGCCTCAGAACCAGCAGGCAGCTCAGGGCAAGGGCCACAGGCGCCAGGAGAAGGGTGGCCGCAGCTGTGTCCCTGCAATGTGACCCTCTCAGTCCCCAACTCTTGGCAGGCAGCGGGCACTTGCCAGCTGGAGAGCTAGATCACAGCCCCCAGGCCCACTTGGGGGGTTGGGGGAAGATATCAGGCGAAGCAACTGAATACCCTCGTCTACAAGGATCCTAGCATCTGCCCTCACCTCCAAGTTTCCTGTCTCATCAAACACTCCAACATTCCAGATGGAGAAACCAAGGCCTGGAAAGACCTGGGAACTCACCTAAGACCCTGACCCTGGACTCCAAGTCTGGCTGGTTTCCCTGGGGCCCGCCACAGCCTCTCGCTCCCAACAGCTGGGCTCATCCTGAGAAGCCAAGCCCTGTGGTGGCCCCCACCCCAGGCCCTCCAAACTCTCCATGACCCTTCCCTCCAAACCCTGGACATCCCACAAAGTCCCTCCAGTCCCTCACAACTGGTTCCTCCCAGGCCGGACTCGGCCTGCCGGCTTCTCCACACGCCCTCGGGCGGCCAGGCTATACGTTTGGTGAATAAAATGTATTGTTGTGGGCCAAGTGGGCTCTGGCTCACTGGCGCGAGGAGAGGGGAAAAAGGGACAGGAGCCCAGTTATTAGCTCAGGCCCAGGCCCTCGTCATAGGCAACACCAGAAGGATGATTGCAAGGGGCTTGGGACAGGCGAGGGGTCCTCCTGACTGTTGCCTTGTTTTCCAGTCCCCCCCTCAGGATATCAGCCTCCCATTCCCTGCCCAAAGCTGTGGGGAGAGGGACTGAGCCTGGGGCTCTGACCCTGGGGATGGCCGGGCTCCCTCTGACCTTTGACCCTTCTGCCTGTTCCCCAATCTCCAGGCCTGAACCTCTGCTCTCAGGTTCAGGCTGGGAAGCGGGGGAGGGGGTGTCAGGTAGCACTCTCAGAAATGGAGGGGCTCGTCGAAAAGCCTTCTGGAAATCCCATCCTCTGCCTGCCACTATCCCCCTCTTGCAGCTGAGAAACCTGCTGTCTAGGCTTTTCTGCAATTGTCCAGTAAGACCAAAGACTAAAAGCAAGCTCCTGACCCCTGGCCCAGCTCTTCCCAGACAGACACTGGCACAGGGCACAGCCCAACTCTTTGAGGGCCATCCTGGTCCAGGTAGTCCAAAGCCTGGAAAGCTTCCTGAGGCCAGAGGCAGCTGCAAGCTCTGTGTTCCTGGGGCATGGGGGCTGTGACCGCCATCTGCCCCCCCTTCCTGCTACAGCTCCCTGCAGCTCTCCAGTGAGGATCAATGGGAACCAGGCTTCTGCTTCCACCTCAGGTTAACTGCCTGGAGTGAGATTAGTAATTCTTGGCCAGCCCATTTCACAGGGCTGGCCAACTGATTAATTGTTGAAGATGATGATAGGAACTCTCTGTGTGCCAGGCTCCCCATGAGGTGGCACTGCATCCACTAAGGGAGGTTATGTAACCCAGCCAAGGCAACACAGCCCAGGATGTAGCAGAGCCAGGGTTTGAACCCCCACACATGGGGGCCAGAGTGCATTTGCTACACACTGAGCCATGTGGTCGTTGCCCACCAGAAGGCTCCCAGGGAGGCTGGATCTGTGACCTAAAAAGGGTGGAGAGCAGGCAAAGAGTACAAGCAGCAGAGGGGAAAGAGAAGGCAGAGAGGATGCCGGGCGTGCCGACAAAAGGCTGCTACACATCTTAGGGAAGCATGCGGGAAGGGGCCGGCAGCACTGACTCCCACACGCGGATGCCTGGGACGCACATGTTCACACACATGTACTCGCATGCACACTGGGCAGTACCTGTCACGTCCTTTTTGGGAGACTCAGCCCAGCTGGAGAGCCACACTTCCGAGTCCCCGAGAGCAAGCAGCAGCAGGAGAAGAGAATCAGAAGAGAGAGAACCGTTAGGCAGGCAGGAGGTCCACAGGGTGAGTGGCTGCAGGCGTCCCGTGGAGCAGCTGGCGGAAGGCGGGGGAGGGGAGGGGAGTGATTTCCTGGCCCTGGGCTGGCTGCTGGGCGTGGGCCGGAGTGATTACAGAGGCACTGGGACACAGCCGGCTGGGATGGGGTAATGAGGTGTCTGCCGAAACGCAGGCATCCTCTGGAGCACAGAGAAGCCCACACAATCCTTGCTTGGAACAGGGCCCGTGGGTTATTACTGCCCTAGAGAAAGCAGCCCAGACCTTTGTCTTTGGCCATGTGGGTGGCTCGCCCCACAGGGCTTAGTGGCTCCAAGGATCCTCACCAGGTCAACAGGCTCAGCAGCCTGAACAACCTGGAATTCAAACATCACGGTTAGAGAGCCCAAGGCCAGTCTCCAAGCTTGAGGCAACAACACCACTGGGCCTTGATGTCTCCTCTAGCCCTTGCCCCAGCCCCACCCTCTGAGAAAGAGAGACAGGCCCTGGCAGAATGGAAGGATCCCTCATTTTACAGTCTCACTGCTCAACCCCAACCCAGAAGGACAGAAACCTTTAGTGACCAGAAGACCTGAGGGCTCTATTTCAGGCTCAGAAACCATGTATGATTTAGGCCTCAGTTTCCTTATCTGTGAAGTGAGGTTAAAAGTTTCCTCCTGCCAAGAGGGAGAAGCGAAGTCAAAGTACCTAAAAGAAAATATGATTGTGAAATGTGATATAACAACATTATGAGGCAGAAGCTCTTAGCCTAATCAGTGGTGTTAACATTTCTAGTGGATCAACATGTAATAAATGCTGACCGGCTACTCACGGTGCATAGTAGCTCATTTACTTCCCACGACAATCCCTTGAGGTGTGTATGCATTTTTCACCCCATTTTACAGGGAAGCAGTATGAATTCAGACAGGGGAAGTAACCAGCCCAAGTTCTCACAAGCACAGAGTGGCAGAGCCAGAAATGGAAGGTCTGGGAACACCCCGGCTGGGGCTTTCTCTGCTAAACTGCTCATCGCCTGCAAAGGAGCACAGCGTTGGCTGCAGCAGAGACGATGAGGAGGAAACGTTGAGATGCAAGTTGAGATACAAACTGTTACACACACCCTCATACAAACGTTGAGATAAAAAACCTGCCCTGCCCACCCTGCCAGCATTGCTGCCCTGACCCAGTGACAGAGAGTGATCACAATCATAACAGCAGCAACGTTTACACAGCATTTACTGTGCACCAAGCACTGAGCACTTACACATAGTAACTCATTTGTTTTTCACACTAAACCTACAGTGATAAGGTATTCCCTCAATTTACAGATGAGAGAAATGAACCAGAGAGGATAAGTAACTTGCCTGAGGTCACACAGTGTCCACCTTTCATGAGGATACAGACTTCAGGTGATCGTTTGCCACTCACCACTTAAAGCACAAAACTCTCCCTTGCTCGGCAAGCCACCTTCCAATTGCAGGCTGGCTCCCCATGTAGAACTGGGAAGCCTGGTCCTCCCAGTTCTTCCTGTAAACCAACAGAGTGGGACCCCAGGGGAGAGGTTTACCAAGGCCTCTGGAGTCTGACCGGCTAGATTCAAATCCAGGCACTGCCCCTTTGAGGAAGTTACTTAACGTCTCTGAACCTGTTCCCTCACTTGTAAAAATCCAGATGAAATGATACGTTTACCTTCTGGGCTGCTGTGAGGATTAAAAGAGGTAACAGACAATAAGTGCTCAGCACAGAGCCTAGTATACAGTCAGTGCTCAGTGGCTGTTAGCCACCATCAGTGACATCTCCCATGAGCTTGGTTGAATCAGCTCAGAAAAATCACACTCCTGGAGCTGCAGGGATGAGAACCAGATGGTGCTCATACTGGATGCACCAAGAAAAAGCTGACACCCGTCAGATGGCTTCCCATAGGCGACCCCACACATCAGGTCAGTTGGAATGGGGGTAGAAGGACTCTGGGGGACTGCACCCAGAGACAAACATTCTGTGGCCACTGGCCCTAGCAGGGGGATGCCTCCTTGGGCAGAAAGAGCTATGCTGGCCCTGCTTTCATGCCCTGGTAGGGCTGAGACAGGCTAGATGCACCTAGGCTCTCTGAGGCTTTAAGCAGGGTTGGCCACGTGGATCTGAGTTCAGAATGTGGGACTTCATTGCCTGCTGCCACATCTTGCTGGGGCTTTCACTTCCTGCTGCTGTACCCCAGATGTGGCCCGTGGGCTGCTCCCCAGCAAGGCTGTGCCGGACCCATCCCAGCCCTATCTGGCCACACCCAGTCCTGTGCTGACCCAGCTAAGAAGTTACCCACATCTCTCTCCATTTCTACTGTCTCCATTATTTTGCACACCTTCCGTTTTGGTTTCTTTTGGGTTCTTCAGAAGGAAACCTTGTGGGAAGTGCTAACCCCTTTCAGTGAGCCAAGGGAAATGATTTGGCCCAGGCCTGGAGAAGCCAGGAAGACTTGTTCTGCTAGAATGGGAGTTGACAAACTTCTGTAAAGAGCCAGAGAGTCAATATTTTAGGCTTTGTGAGCCATGTGGTCTCCACTGAGACTACTCAACCCTGTGAGTGGGCAGTGTGCCAATAAAACTTTATTGACAAAACCATCTGGTGAGCTGGGCGTGGCCTGTGGGCAGTGGTTTGTCAATTCTTATGCTAGATGATGAGGGCCATCAGAGAGGGGGAGATGCCCCAAAACTCTAGGAGAAAGAAGTGGGGGTTGTTGGCCCACAAAGACTAAATGCTCACAAGGTCTTGGCTGCTAGGAAACATTTTTCAAGAATTATCTTGAAGGGTCTGATGCCCTTCCAGGCCCTTGGGGTTTGGGCATTTGGGGGGATGGACAGGAAACTGAGCCCCTACTAAGTGTACAGCCCGAGCTCATGCCAACCCCCTTCATCCCCCGTACGCAGGCCTTCCCTTCTCTCGCCAAAGGAAAATGGGAAGCGAACCAGAAATGAGCTTGTCTTTTTTTTTTTTTTTAAGTCTTTTTAAAACATGATTTATTTCCCAGTCCCCTGGATCCGCAGAATTAATCCAGTTCCATGGTTCCCACCCGCCAATTTCCCCCTTTTGGAGTGCCTTCTTTCCAGCCCACCCGAGCAAGCCGTCTCCCAGGGTGGGAAGGACCCCCTCGGCCTCATTACGATGAGCAGAGAGCCCCTGGCTCACAAACCCTGGCCCTCTGGCCAGGAGGCCAAGGTTACTGGCTCAGGGCTGGGAAAACGGAGACAGAGAGATGGGGTGAAGGAGCAAGAGACAGGCGCAGCCAAATGAGCAGCTGTGACTGACACAAACCAACTGCTTCCTGCCCTCCCGTTGTCTCTACCTCCCTCTCCTCTGGTGACAGAACCAAAGGCCCTCCAGAGCAGGGTCACGGTGCCTGGTGGAAACCCAGGGGCATCAGACTGGGAAGCTGCCCAACTGATTTTGCTGAGAACCAGCTACATGACCTTGGGCAAGTGGCTTGACTTCTCTGGGACTCCGTGCTCACATCTGTGAAATCAAGCATTTGGGCCCAGGGGTCTCCAAGGCACTTCTCTGATGTTCTAGACTCTTCCTGCAGTACCTTGCTAGTTTCCATAGTACAAGTGCACCACAGCTGAAAAGACTCTTTCCAGAGCCGCAGACTGCCTTCCAGGGAAAACCACTTGAACACATGCTCAATATATGGAAACTCAAGCGAAAAAAGCCAATAATTCAGGAGGTACAGAGCGCAGAGAACCGGAGCAAGAAATTTTTTTTCTAAATCTTGGTTCTTGTGCTTACTCCACCTTTTAGCTCAGATTCTGGGCACTTAAATATTGGAGCCTCTTTCCCCCCTGTAACAGGACGATAAGAATACCGACTTTATCTTCTTCCTAGGGTTGTTTTAAGAGTGAAATGGCCTAATGCCTATGAAAGGTTTTGGAGGGGGACACAGAGGGGAGTGGATGACAGGGGCAGAGCTGGTGACTAAAGCAGTGTGTGCCTGGGAGACAGGAGGTGTGGAGACAGGGGTCTTCCACTGGCCATCCCCCAGTACTTACATCCTTGCCACAGCCATTCCTCTTGGCTTGCAAGAGAAGCAAGAACTTAGGCCCAGAGAAAACCAGGTGTCTGCACGTCCTGGCCAAATACAGTGACCTGAGGACACTTAGGTGCTGAACTTGAGTTTCATCAGGTCCCAATACTACAGGTGCCCCTGGTGTTAAGGAAGCTTCCCCCAAACACATACACCCAAGCACTACATGAAAAACACCTGCATAGTCCCAAGTTAGACAAGAGACTCTTACTGCTTCATAATAAGGTTTCTTTTAGCTTTGAGTTACTCCAGAGCAGTGAGAATTGGGTTCAATTTACCCAAATCTAGTCTCCAACCATGTTTCCAGGAATCCTTCCTTCCCTGGTGTCAAGCAAGTTCCACCCATCCAAACTAATAAATCCAGAGTGGGCTGCGAGCCCAGGTGGGAGAGATGGGAGTGAGAACAGCCAACAGCACAAACTCCTCGGAGAATGAAAGCAAACCCAGGGCTCAGGGGACCAGGGCTGGGTCACCCTCCTTATCAGCTTACACAGCCCCCGCCCTGGGCTCCAGGGAGGGGAGGAGATGCAGAGACCCTGCCAGGGGCCCCCGAATGGAATGAATACCCCCACCCCCTTCTCCTCCACATGCTTCCATTCTTCAACATCTCGGCACACTTGAGCACTCGAGACCTCGCCCTCTGTGGGAATTCTATTGTTCCTACCTTACTGCAGCCTTGAACTGGTTTCTAAATATCTGCTCTAGTCTAGTCTTTTCTCTCCTTTTGTACAACTAAACTTCGCACAGAGCTAGATTTCTTTGGTTTCCTACAGACTCCTTGTGTTTCTTTTCCTTTTTCGACTAGGCCACCAGGAAACTCAGCCACTGCTTTCAGGCCATCAACTGATTAGGAGCTGACAGCTGCTGCCCTGTTA